AGAGAGAGAGAGAGAGAGAGAGAGAGAGCTCAGATTTCAAGACACTGCACACCTGACGTTTAATGTCAAAAATACCGATTCTATCTTTTTTATACAGAAACATTTTTAAAAATGCATAAAAATAAATAAATTTTATACCAGAACAGGCGTATGTGGAAATCAGACACTGCCAAAAACTGAGCGCATGTATTTCCCAAGTCTCGGGGCAGGTAAAGTAACGCACCAATTCTTTTCATTAGGCCTATCGTGGGATCAAAATAATTATGACAAGTCAACAGTTCTTGGACTATCTCTCTCTCTCTCTCTCTCTCTCTCTCTCTCTCTCTCTCTCTCTCTCTCTCTCTCTCTCTCTTTATTTCTTACTTGCGCTACTCGTTTGTAAGCGGTCATCTGGAACGATATTATTATCTAATTTACCGCTTAAACGGAACTTTAATCTCTACTGTGATGTCATTTTTGTATTCCTTATCATTACCATATTAGGGAAATCTTTGCACATCAATATAATGTGTTTGCTACTAGTCTATTTATGATAAGGTAGGGGGAGAACACCAAAAAGACCAAAACAAAAACAAAAACTAACAACCAACAACAAGTCCCCCCAAACAAAAACAAAACAAAACAAAACAAAAACACCGAAAAACAAACAGCCTCCACCCCCACCCCCAAACAAGCCCCAAACAAACACAACAACAACAACAAAACAACAACCCAAAACCCCGCCCCCCAAAGACCCTGGTGACGACTCATTGGACGCTGCTTTCTGAGTGTGGCGGCGTCTACACTATAAATAGTGGAAACAAAGACTGTTGTGAAGCAAGAAGAGTTCCTTCATTTGAGCCAGTGTGGCGACTATAAGGTTAATGCACATAAACTGTGGAGGAGACTTTTTAAAGGTGTGGCATACATTGCTATATCCAATCTATGCTGTTACTAATCACTGCTTAAAGTTTTACGCAAACATTTACCTCGCCAGGCCTTTTCGAAATACTTGTATTTTCTGGAAGTTAGGAAGTTACAGTTCTCTCGGTTTCGTTCGATTCTTCATTTGGTAGAATTCTCTTTCCAAAATTTTATTCTTAAAAGGGTTAGACGTAACGTTTCGCCCCTCCCCCCCCCCTGAACATTTTTCCTGCGTCTTGGAGCATTTAGTGTCTCTGTTCCTGTACCCACCTCTACACCACTAATCCATTCTAATCCTTGCACACGTCATGAAACATCAGGTTTGAAGGTATAACACAAATTAGTATCTAAAAAACCCAGCCTATAACAATATTAATGCACGGGGAATCCTCTGAGCCCTTGCGTTGCTCTGAGTTCGGAAGAACCTTCCGCTAGCAACCCATGAGATCTAGAATGGGAGTGTAGGAGAAAAGATGTTATGCAAGAGTGATCTGGAAGAAATAAATATTAAAAGACAAAATGACAAAATCGCGTCCCTTAACACGTACCGAACTGCCCAGTTAAGAGCACTTCGCGTGCCTAACACGTGAATGCACACTCACGTTCGTTTCTGACCCCTTC